ATCCATCGGGCTGTTAGGCCATCGTCAACGGCTGACATTGACCCGGTCTTACTAGCCAGGGCGATAACAGTGTTAAATGCCGATTCTTTGAGGGTATCAGAGGTAAGAATGGGAATAGCATCTTCAGCTGTGCTTTGCGGAGTTCTGGCGCAGTCAAGCAATATTTCATATGGTGACTGTTCGGATGCTCGAGATAACCCTGCATTATGTGTCTGCTCGTTGTAGGAGACAGCAGAATCATGGCTTAGATCATGCTCTCTGGTGGTTCTCTCGTTTTCTGCCAGCTCTTGAATGGTATACAAGATCAGCCCCCATGAAAAGGCTGCCGGACTCGCGGTGTTCAAATCGCCGCATGCAGTAAGAAAGATCTCATTGATTTGAGAGATTTTCTCCTTGCACCAGAAGTAAGGCTGAGGCGAGGATTGCATGTGTGTCTTATTCGGAATGGAAGAGATGGCGAGAGAGGGTTTTAAAAACGCCAATGTGGTAAGTGACACGAAAGCCTGAAGGGGGAACAAGACTTCGACAGGCTGTTGACAAGGCTATAAGAAAACATTAGCATTCCGATAGCTCGAAGTAGGCGACCGGCCACTTACCACTTGAATTGTCTCAAAGAAGCTATAATCAGCCATGAGCTGGAGCCAGGACAACAGGAGGTCTGCAGTTGGAAATTCCACTGAGGCTTGGAGCTGGTGGAACATGAGTTGCACGATATGAACAATCTCCTCCACGAGACTTGTTCTCCAGATGTTCTCCAGTTCCTCGCTGCTTTGTGCGGCACTGAGCCAGCCACCGTCTCCTTCCAAACTCGTTAACCGACTGCGTATCGAGGTGATGCATTCTTGAAGAAATCGGTCCAATCCATCACCAGTCGACTTGTCTTGGAAAATTGTGGTCCCTATTTTGCGCAAAGCAAGTTTGCGATCATAACTGGTGGGGACGGTCGAGTCAGCTGAAGTACCATCGTGCAGGGACAGAGCAAGCAGCTTGCGGAGTGTCTTCACTACATGGCTTGCCTCGGAGAGGTACACCTCGCGGAGTCGCAAACGCCTCTTCTCCTCTTTTTCAAATGACTGAACACCGTCGCTTCTAGCTGTTTGGTTCAATAGGTTGGCGAAGTTAGGACCGGCTAGAGAGCCTCGAAGATTCTCAGTCCCAGCCGCGCTCTGTAGACTGGTTGTTTCCTCGCTGGAAAAGCCGAGTGTGAGGCGCGTTGCCGGACGGTTCTGCCATTCCAATACAGCGATGCGAAGAGCGGCGATTTCGTCGATTCCGGCTTGCTTGCTTAACCATAGCGCGTCGGCCTTGATCTCCTTCAGGTCAAAAGAGCTTTGGCCATTGGTCTCGACATGGATTGCGGCGGTTTTGGATTCGAATTCGGATTTTGATTTTGCGGAAGGGGAGGGGAACGGTTTTAGGCCGTCAGAGAGTAGGCGAATAGATTCGGAGTGTGAAAAGAAGACATCGATATTGCCTCCGTCTTCGGGATGGCTTTCAGGATCAATGGCGTAGAGAAAAGCTCTTCTCCAGGATCTGCTTTATATCAGCATATTGCCTTCCATGGCGACAGGTGATAAGAGTGAACATACAAGAGTTGAACGTCCCCGGAGATGCACTGGTCCAGGGACGGGAAATAGGCCTCCGGAACGGGAGCCATGTTGGGCAATTAGATCATCATAGGACAGAAAGGAAGAGCGGAATGAGGCGACACCAGGGAGGTGACGGGAGAACAAAGAAAAAGGTAGATGGCGAGCGTGGGGAGCTCTTGAATTGAGAGGGAGCTTCAAAAGAATATTATTCACCGCGACTGGGTCAACAATCATGTGCCCTATCTGATCTTATTGCCGGGCGGTGAGTGGAAACTTGGAAACTCGAAGTGCTGTTGACTCACCTCCGTCCAACTTGGGTAATTCGCAAACATCTGATTTGGTTTTAAACTGTTCGAGATTCCGAAGCTTATAGCAGAACGATTATCATATTCTCTCAACCCCCCCGATATCCTACCACAATCCGCGGTTATGGCGGACCTTGTCGACCACTCCCCCCGCCATGCCACGAAATCGGCCCAATTGGCCAGCGCATCCAACGTGATTTTGATCGACAATTACGACTCATTTACCTGGAACATCTACCAGTACCTTGTCCTTGAAGGTGCCACTGTCACGGTCTACCGCAATGACGAAGTCACTGTTGAGGACTTGGTTGCAAAGAAACCTACTCAACTGGTTATCAGTCCTGGCCCCGGCCACCCCGAGACCGATGCAGGAATCAGTAGCGCCGCAATCCAATATTTCAGCGGAAAGATTCCGATATTTGGTGTGTGCATGGGCCAGCAATGTATGATCACTTCGTTTGGTGGTAAGGTGGATGTGACCGGCGAGATTCTGCACGGAAAGACCTCGGAGTTGAAGCATGACTCCAAGGGTGTGTACCAGGGATTGCCAACCTCGCTCGAGGTCACTCGGTACCATTCGCTCGCCGGAACACACTCGACTATCCCAGATTGCTTGGAAGTGACTTCGCGGGTCGAGCTGGGGGACGGCAGTGGGAAGAATGTCATTATGGGTGTTAGACACAAGGAGTTCGCAGTGGAAGGTGTTCAATTTCACCCTGAGAGTATTTTGACGCAATACGGCCGCAAGATGTTCAGAAACTTCTTGGAGCTCACCGCTGGGACCTGGGGTAACAAGCAGGGAGCAGCAGCTGCCGCACCGGCAAAGAAGCTATCCATTTTGGACAAGATCTACGCCCACCGCAAAAATGCTGTTGAAGAGCAGAAGAAGATTCCGGCTCTGCGACCAGAGGCTCTTCAAGCTGCATATGATCTGAACATTGCGCCTCCTCAATTGTCATTCCCTGAGCGCCTGAGACAGTCAGACTACCCTCTCTCGCTCATGGCGGAAATCAAGCGTGCGTCACCCTCCAAGGGCATCATCTCGGCCGACGTTTGTGCCCCTGCTCAAGCACGGGAGTACGCCAAAGCTGGCGCCAGCGTCATTTCTGTCCTCACAGAGCCGGAGTGGTTCAAGGGCACCATAGATGACCTGCGGGCTGTTCGTCAGAGCCTGGAGGGACTTACCAACCGACCCGCTGTCCTCCGAAAGGAGTTCGTCTTTGACGAGTATCAGATCCTGGAGGCACGTTTGGCTGGAGCTGATACAGTTCTACTGATTGTGAAGATGTTGGACATTGAGTTGTTGACTAGACTGTACCATTACTCGCGCAGTCTCGGCATGGAGCCTCTGGTCGAAGTTAATACCCCCGAAGAGATGAAGATTGCAGTTGACCTGGGTTCTGAAGTCATCGGTGTCAACAACCGAGACCTGACGAGTTTCGAGGTCGATCTCGGAACTACCAGTCGCCTAATGGATCAAGTCCCTGAGAGCACAATTGTGTGTGCCCTTAGCGGAATCTTGGGGCCCCAAGATGTGGAGGCTTATAAGAAAGAAGGTGTTAAGGCCATTCTTGTTGGAGAGGCTCTCATGAGGGCACCTGATACCTCTGCCTTTGTGGCACGTCTTCTCGGCGGTTCTAATCGAAACTCTGCTGGTGCATCACCAAGTTCTCCATTGGTGAAGATCTGTGGAACTCGTACCGAAGAAGGAGCTCTGGCTGCTATTCAAGCTGGCGCAGATTTGATTGGCATAATCATGGTCCAGGGCCGCTCACGGCTTGTCCCAGATGATGTGGCCCTCGGGATTTCCCGGGTGGTCAAGTCGACCCCTCGTCCGGCCGGTACATCGCAACAGTCGACAAACGCTACCTCGTTGGAATGGTTCGATCACTCTACTAATATCTTGCGCCACCCTTCTCGTGCTTTACTCGTTGGCGTGTTCATGAATCAGCCGCTATCATATGTCATTTCTCAACAACAAAAGCTGGCTCTCGATGTCGTGCAACTGCATGGATCCGAGCCATTGGAGTGGTCTAGTTTGATTTCAGTTCCTGTCATTCGCAAATTTGCCCCTGGTGACATTGGAATTGCTCGCAGAGCATACCACACTCTTCCATTGCTGGACTCTGGGGCCGGAGGCTCTGGCGAGCTTCTGGAGGAGAGCGGTGTCAAAAAGGTCCTCGATAGTGACGAGGGATTGAGGGTAATCCTGGCTGGAGGATTAAACCCGGACAACGTGGTCGACACGGTGAAAAAGCTGGGCGAGTCGGGCCAAAAGGTCGTCGCATTGGATGTCAGCTCTGGCGTAGAAACAAACGGTGCTCAGGATTTGGAGAAAATCCGAGCCTTTGTGAAGTCTGCTAAAAGCATTCGGCAATGAACAGGCTAGGGACGTGCACTTACACTACTCAGGACGACTTCTTTTCTTATTCTATCTCGGGGTTTCATATTCGATAATCATGCGGCATATCCATAGCAATCAAGATTATTCGGGGTTTCTTCTACATTCATTTTACTTTCACTTGTTTGATATAGGCTTTACTTGATATATCAAGGCATGATTTTTGGTCCTTTCTTGAAGTAGATCTCAATCTTAAATTTCTTTCAAAATACCATTATTTCCTACTTTCTCATCACTTTCACTCTCTAGAAATCATCATACTCGGTGCATTCCATATCAATGTTACAAAAGCAGACTAAGTTGGCAGCTCTAAGCAGTATATCACAGTATTGCCTCGAAGTGCTGTCCTCTGGCACTATACGCATTTTATTTCCGACGTTCTTCTGTCCCTTTCTGAAAGAGATCTCAATCGACAGCAGAAGTCAAACGAGCCTCAGTCTCATCGAACTAGTCCTCTCATTCATTATCTCAAAGACTTGTCTTCCAGCAATATACACAATTCATTTCTGAAATATTGCTGCAGCCAGCAAAGACCAATCGAAACTTCTGGCCACAAAACTAATCCTCGCAGTATCTTAGTCTTCCCTTCTGGCAGCATAGCACATTTCATCACTCTAGCCATTCTTGGGGCATTCCCGCCGTCAGTGGAAGCGAAACGAACCACCAAACCCATCTTCCCAATTCTCAGACAGCAGTGAATTCAGAATGGGGAAGCCGTTTCAAAGAGTTCATGCCTCTATAGTAGGCAAGTTCGAAAACGGTGTCGGTGAAAAGATCCCACAGTGGATACGGGCAAATGGAGGACAGTTCTCAAGAGATGTGAACCCGCGAATTACCCATCTCATCGCCACAAAGGAGGCGTTCAAAAGCAATGCAGTTCCAGGTCTATTGCCCTTGAATATCTCAAAGACCTCAAAACTAAACTAATCAACAAAACACAGTGGAAAATGCCAAGAGGCTCAGCACCGTCAAGATCGTCTCATACGATTGGCTTGAAGACTCGTTGTTGTCAAACACCCGCCGACCAAAGCCTGAAGGGCCATATCTTCTAAAGAATCTGATGAAGCCCGAGAAGAAGGAAGCCCAAAGGAAGAAGGTCACACTGAAGTCCTCAAAGGTGGTCAAGGAGGCCAAAGGGAATATTCCAAAGCGTCGGATAGGTATCAGTTTTCCTCAGCTCCACTTTATTGCAGACCGTACTGACAGGTCTTCCTACAGCTGATCCTTTCCTCGCCACGAAGGGCAAACGAAAGCGTAAGCATGATCCTCATATCAGATGGCACATCCAGGTCTAACAATTACCCATCACAGCCGTGCGTCAGGTGTACCAGGACAGAAAGACAAACGTGGTTTATAGTATCACCTTGTTCCGCCCATCGAAACCACCGGTCATTAGCAGAGAAAAGTACCAACTGACTGTAAGTGATATTGAGATATTCTGTGTATTGTTTTCAGAAAAAGAATATTGATACTGTCTAGCTTTTCGAGTCCATCGTCGAACCACACACTTACTCCACCTACGCAAAATTCAGCCGCATTGGCACATCCAATGTCGAACTTCTGGCAGGACCGAGGTGCAAGCTCGAGCTTGCAGTGGAAAAATTCAAGCAGTTCTTCAAGGAGCAGACTAACAAGGAATGGGACGAAAAGGCAAACGGGAAGATGCCACCCCCAAAGAAAGACGTGGACGGAAATAGCTTGCCTGCTCACGAGGGCTGGTTTTATCTTGAGGAAAAGACGACTATCCTCGGTGCATTCCTCAGGGAATCCCAGAGCACAGGTTGTGGGGAATCGACTAGCCGCATCGCCTCCGATGGTATCAGGGAGAATGATGTCAAAAATGGTGCCAAGGACAGTAAGGAGGGCAAGATGGCAAATCACCAAGTTAAAGATGGGGGCGAAAACGGATCTGAAGCTGATGAGGAGGATGAAGAGGAGGAAATGGATAAGTAGATAGTAAGTATCTAAGGATGATGGGAATCCCTCTAGGTGGCTAACACCTGCACTCACGAGTGGATTCCTCAGCGAATGTGGATGGATCATTTTTAACGCAGATTTTATGCCGAATGCAAATTCGAAGATTTTAGGACAGCACATACATAGGATATGTAGGCGATTTGCTCCCATAATTTTAGAAGTAGTTCCTAATATAATAAATCTTTAGTCGCATTGTACAAGAGTGCGAGGAAGTGGACGAGTATTCCGGCATATACTAATATACTAGTTCCTTAGTTCTTGCCTATGTCAAGCTGGATATCAATTAGCCATTCCTTCTGATTTATTATACTATGTATATATCTGGTAGTTTCTTTATTCATTTCACTAATCTAAAGCCTCTTTAGAAACATGTCAAATTACATTATTCTAAGTTGGAGTGAATTATAGGGCTGTTAGCCTCTGGTGGGTCCGGGACGATCGTATCTTTCTAGGGCTAATCACATGCAGCGTGACCCGCATGCCCCCACTTTCGGAAACTATGAGCCCACTTCCATCATCTTGAAAAGTATGTTGTAGTTGAAGCCTGTGCTCTCTTTGCCGTACCCACGACGGTAAATTCATCATTAGGCCACAGCTAACAACTCACATGTTGCTCGTAGACCGGAATTATTTGACACCAGCATGGCAACACGGAGGGCTTTACCAAGCTTAATGAGAGTTGTGATGTAGGCTCAGTGATGTACCTATCTTCCTCCTTGACGGAAAACGGTTGGAAGGAATCCTTCGGAGATATAACGGTGCCCAAAGTTGGAACAATTGAGAGGAGATTTGGTTTTGATCAATCTACCGGCCACATATATCCACATAGGTTGTACTAACGACATCTTGAGAATGTCTGCCATCAGCTCACCCAGCACAGTGAGTTTCAGCAAGTACTATATAGCTTTCTGCATGATCTTATAGTCTCGCTCGCTTTGCACCGCTTCACCTCCATGTTTATCAAAAGAAGGCAGGACTTGTCCAAGCACGAGAACATCCATATGTAGTACGATAGGTTTCATAGACTACCAGCGTTTCCCCCTCTCTTAGTTCTTCGTCAAGGATGGCCTACCTCTATTGTAATCTTACGGTTAAGGGCGTTATTTTTCAATGTTTACTATGTTTGCCCTTCTAACTAGAACTTGGAAACTTGAAAAGCACATGGAAGGTGATACTAAACAAAAGCTTAGACCACTGGATAGGTTATACCGATGTTTTTGTTCATTAGACCTGTAGACAGATGTATCATTTATCTCACCAATTTAGCAAGGCCGGGAAAATCTCCTCTAATTAATCTAGTTCATCTTAAGGCTTCAATTGTTGGATTGTGTGTTTTCATAAACTATAACATGATAAGTATAGAGTAGTCGCCAATTCCCTGCCAGGAAATTGGGTCATGATGACCCCAGAAAGCTGCTGTACATGTCTTTAATATTTTGATTAGACATTCTCCGCTGCCATTTAAGTCACAAACTAAATTGAACATGACAAAAGAACCCATTCTAATTGCCCTCTAACGCCAGATACGCCAGTCGACCAACGTGACGAGATGAGGTTCTGCCTTAACCATCCACGCCACAGCCAATGTAGTGATGCGAGTTCGTAAAGAATCACAGGTATTCCTTCTTTTTGCTGGTTCTCGTGTATTGGGTAAGAGCCCATTCGATGTCGCCGCTCGAGCCCTTCTCTAATGTACCTCCGCGGATCTCGAAAAGTCGCATCGTCATGCGAGGTCCAACTTCAGCCAGCTCCACATCCCGGTACCCAGTCTTGACGAAAACATGGTGGCGCACTTCGATGTTGTCGTCCTTGTTCACAAAGCTCACGACACGGTTACCGACCTTTCCGGTCTCGCGCGGAGGGAAAAGGTGCTTCAGGATCTGAACGACGCGGGCACCCAGCTTCGTCTTGAATCCCTCGAAAACCAAGTGGGGGTAGCTTTCCGACACGGTACCGCGAGCGGCATTCGGAATATCCTGACGAAGGACAACGTTGTGAAGAGAGAAGCTGGCGGTCGGGCCATGGGGAAGGTGTGAAATAGTGAGTGCGGTCGGGGTACCACGGTGCTCGTGGAGGAGAATCATGTCGGTAAGAGCCGCGGAGGTTGCGCTGGAGACGAGATCTCCAAGAACGAGAGTTCCACGGTTGAGGCGGATGGAGGTGGGAAGGAGAAGGCGGATTTCTTTCGCAAATGCGCCCAGGCGAGCGGAGGGGGAGCGAGAGGTGGTAACCAGAGGACGGGGGTCGATAATGCCGGAGGTTAAAACGTATTCATCATCGATGTCCATCTCAGCGTCTTCCTTGTCCTTTGATTCATCATATTTGAAGTCTTCCCGAAGTGTTTTATCATTTGCGATTGTAGGATCTAGAGGCTTTCCAGAAGCCAATGAAGCCTTGAGTTGCGATCTTTTTTCGGCAATGGAGGCATCACGGAGTAGCAAAGCTCTCCGATAAAGATAATCGCGACGCTCGCGGGTTTGGCGGCGCTACTGATGGTAAGTAAAATGTCAACTGTGTTAAATTTATTCTTCACTTACCAGCATTTTGAAGATCGAAGTAAAAGTGGCTTGAGTAGAGAATGAGCGGGCAACTTTTTTTTTTCTCTTAACTCCGGGGCTGCGTCTTTGGTTTTCCTGCATAGCCGTAGTGGGATCGCACCGATAAAGAATCTGGGCAGTTGCGGAGAACGCTTTTTGCTCATCCTTCGAGACAAACTCATCGACTCTCTTTTGTCGGTCCTCTGACACAGAGAGCTGGACTGGTTGTATGTGCTAATCTATTATTGTCAAAAAAAAATACCGCTAATCCCCACATCTCGATATAGATCTCCGTTCGTTTGCCCCTCAGGCACACCCTGGAGATTTCAACACTTAAACACCCCCATAAGACGATCGGATTGTCCTCTACGCTCTTTAAATCGTTTATGACTGCGAAGTTCATTTCTGGTTTCAACTGCTTTTCGCTTTTCTTTTCGCTTTGAATCTTGATCAGCTCCAGTCATCCCTATCAACGTTCCATATCGGTACCCATAATGAGCTACCAACCGGAAGACCCCTCAGCGGGAGTTGAAATTAATGAGATTGCACTCGGCCGCGCGCGTCCACGCCGACATGATGACGAAGATGAGGGCTCTGATACCTTTGAAGATGATGACATGGAAAGCATAGTCGGTGCACCCACAAACGGGCACCAAAAGTCCCAAGGAAATGGAGAGGAGGAAATAGAGCTCCCTGCTCATGCATGCGCGTCAGTTTTAATATCTTCTTTGTGGATGGACATTTACTGATTATATTATAGGTACTGTGGCATTCACAACCCGAGCAGCGTCGTCAAATGTCTCTCGTGTAATAAATGGTTCTGTAGTGCACGTGGCAATACCTCTTCCTCGCATATCGTCAATCACCTTGTCCGCGCTCGTCATAAGGAAGTCCAGCTCCACCCGGGCTCGTCTTTGGGTGATACGATTCTTGAATGCTACAACTGTGGCACCAAGAATGTCTTTTTGCTTGGTTTCATTCCCGCAAAATCCGATACCGTTGTTGTCTTGCTTTGTCGGCAGCCATGTGCCTCTATGCCTTCCTCCAAGGACATGAATTGGGACACTTCACGCTGGCAGCCTCTCATTGAGGATCGTTCTTTTCTTCCCTGGCTCGTGGGAGCACCTACTGACCAAGAACAACTCCGTGCCCGTCACCTCAGTCCTCAATTGATTGCGAAATTGGAGGAAATGTGGAAAGACAACTCTCAGGCAACTCTGGAAGACTTGGAGAAGGCCACGGCAGTGGATGATGAGCCTGCGCCAGTTCTACTTCGCTATGACGATGCTTTCCAGTATCAGAACATTTTCGGTCCACTTGTCAAGATCGAGGCCGATTACGACCGCAAGTTGAAGGAATCTCAATCCCAAGATGGTCTCATCGTACGCTGGGACCTTGGTCTCAACAATAAGCACCTCGCAAGCTTTGTGCTGCCCAAGCTTGAGCTGGGAGATGTCAAGTTGGCTGTGGGCGATGAGATGCGCATCAAGTACAATGGTGAATTGCGTCCCAAGTGGGAAGGTGTGGGCTATGTCATCAAGATCCCGAACAATCAATCTGACGAGGTCACCATCGAACTACGCGCCAAGGGCGACCACAAGTCAGTTCCCACTGAATGCACACACAATTTTATGGCCGACTATGTTTGGAAATCGACTTCCTTCGACCGCATGCAATGTGCCATGAAGACATTCGCAGTGGATGAGCAGAGTGTCTCAGGCTACATCTTCCATCGCCTCCTTGGTCATGAGGTTGCTGCAGCTCCTATGAAGACTCAGATTCCGAAGAAATTCAGTGTTCCAGGTTTGCCAGATCTGAATGGCAGTCAAATCAACGCGGTTAAAAGTGTCCTCCAGCGACCTCTCAGTTTGATCCAAGGTCCTCCCGGAACTGGTAAGACCGTTACCTCGGCCACCATCATCTACCATCTCGCCAAGATCAATGGAGGCCAGGTTCTTGTCTGCGCTCCGTCCAACGTTGCCGTTGACCAGCTCTGCGAACGTATCCATCGGACTGGTCTCAAGACAGTACGAGTTACTGCTAAATCTCGCGAGGATGTGGAATCTGCTGTTGGTTTCCTTTCGCTGCACGAGCAGGTTCGTATGAACGATAGCAACATTGAGTTAGTGAAACTCAACCAGCTGAAGGCTGAACTTGGGGAATTGTCCAGCCAAGACGAAAAGCGCCTGAAGCAACTTACTCGCTCTGCTGAACGTGAAATCTTGACCAACGCGGATGTGATCTGCTGTACTTGTGTTGGTGCAGGTGATCCTCGTCTTTCAAAGGGCAAGTTCCGCACTGTCCTGATTGATGAATCTACCCAATCTGCTGAGCCCGAGTGTATGATCCCCCTGGTTCTGGGCTGCAAGCAAGTTGTGCTGGTCGGTGATCACCAGCAACTTGGCCCCGTGATCATGAACAAGAAGGCCGCCAAGGCCGGTTTGAACCAATCTCTGTTCGAGCGTCTCGTCATATTGGGCTGCTCTCCTATTCGCTTGAATGTCCAGTATCGTATGCACCCGTGCCTTTCGGAATTCCCGTCCAATATGTTCTACGAAGGCTCGCTGCAGAACGGTATCACCATTGCTGATCGTGTCCGTCGCGATGTTGACTTCCCTTGGCCCATCATTGATGATCCCATGATGTTTTGGTCAAACCTGGGCAATGAAGAAATCTCCGCGTCAGGTACCTCCTATCTTAACCGTACTGAAGCGACCAACGTCGAGAAGATCGTCACGCGCTTCTTTAAGGCAGGTGTTCAGCCTAGGGATATCGGTATCATCACTCCATACGAGGGACAGCGGAGCTACATTGTCAGCTCTATGCAGGCAAACGGTACCTTCAAGAAGGAACATTACAAGGAGATTGAGGTTGCGTCGGTCGATGCATTCCAAGGCAGAGAGAAGGATTATATTATCCTTTCTTGTGTGCGTTCCAATGATCACCAAGGTATTGGTTTCCTGAGCGATCCTCGTCGTCTCAACGTGGCCCTTACTCGTGCTCGATTTGGTCTGGTCATCCTCGGAAACCCCAAGGTCTTGTCTAAACACCCATTGTGGAACTGTCTTTTGCAGCACTTTAAGGAACGCCACTGTCTCGTTGAGGGGCCCTTGTCCAACCTTCAGGAGTCCTTGATTCAATTCAGCCGGCCTAAACAAGCATACAGAGGCCCGCAGCGCTTCCAGATGTCTTTCAGCCAGACAAATAATGCCCCCAATAATGCAGTGAATGGTCGCAACGGCGGTCACCGCAACGAGTATCATGACTCCGGGTCTGTGGTGGGCTATATCCCCGATGATGTGTCTTCCGTCCACGGCTCGGCACTTGGTGGTGTTGGCCTTCCGTCTGGCTACCCCCCTATGTTCCAGAATTTCGGCGAGTCCTGGCCTGCGATCTCTGGCGGTCGTCGAGCAAATGGTGGCCGACCCAAGGGAGCACCCAGTGTGACTGGCGAGTCAGTCGCTGCTACTGAGTCTGATGTTACCTGCAGCGTCACTGACGGACGCAGCGTTGATCAGGGCGGTGTCAGTCTCACTGGTCTAAGCATTAATGATATGAGCAAGCAGCCCAGCCTCAGCCAATCTGACCGATTGAAGCGCTACGTCGAGTCTGGCGGACGTGAGCCTTACAGGACCGGCGTTCCGGACAATGGCAGCATCTTCGGAGGCAGCTCTGCTAGCATTCGCGTGACTCGCGGCGTGCCGGGCCAGAACCCTCACGACGACGATGATGCCCGTAGCGTCTCTACTGCTTTCGCTAGCCAAGTTGGTGGCAACTATGACTGAGTGACTTTGTGTCTAACATTTCCCAGGGCAACCTCCAACAGGTTCGCCCGTCTTACCACTCGGCGAAGTAATGTCCGTGCATACTATCAGGGTTCTTTCCAACAGAGTCTGACCGCCCGTTTCTTTTATGCCGACCAGGACTTTGGATCGGCAAACCCAAGACTTTTCGGATGCTTATCCCCGGGTCCTTTGACCTGCTACCAAAGCACCGTTCTGTCCGTCGAAGGGTTGTTCCCTGGGTCTGATCCCTCACCATTGTCACCGTGACATTCTTACAAGGCGTGACTCTCGGGGATGAAGCGACAGACAATGATCCTCCAGTATCTTCTAGTTGAAGGAATTACTGAAAACTCACCTGTCGATTGCCGATGCCCAGTTCCGATAGCCCCGGTAGCAATTACTGGGCAGCTCTGCGAATTTACCCCTACCCCTTGGCCATATTTCGTACTTGCTATCTTTATCTCTTAGATAGTCAGGTATTAGCTTTAAAAAAACAATGGCAATTTATGATCCCACATCTTTTTCTATCTCCGTAAGCAGGCAATATGATAAGAAACTAGAAACTAAGCCGACCTTCCAAGGTTGGAATCTTCGCCGGCTTACGTTTCGAGCTAGGGCTAAAGCCGTTACTCTGCCTCAGCTTCTACACATTAGCCCCATCAGCCGCTCCCCCTATTAGCCTTACTGTCGTACTAATCGGTTGCATTACTTCAGTCATGCTGCCCCTAGAGGCACCCCAGGTAGGTACTTAACCCCGATTCCTCTACGTATAATCTGGATAAGACCTATCATTTCCAAGGTTTAGTACTTGCCTCATATCGTTTGTGGCAAACAGTCTATAGTAGAATTAAGCACTGTATTAAAACGATGTCTATGTTCTATAAAGGTGAGCATACTACATATATGGGTACATTTGAAATCAGTGACACGATTTCCCATATTTTCGAAGACGTAGATAGTTGTACGGCAACGGCGCCAGGTATCCAGCACCCATCGATAACACTGCTGCCATCCAGAACTTTGGATCTCCAAAAGCAACTATCCCACCAGTCAGATGATAATCAACTGCATTCTCAGCTAGTTCCATGGCCAACATCGAAACCATACTCATGCCCATAGCGGTACGAGCAGCCATCGGCCAGGAGAGCTGGTCCGCCCCGCGGCGGAGCAGGATTGTCTCGAGGATAACAGAAGTTGTGATACCGGATGCCACTAGATGATTGTTTTAGTACACAATACTCAATACGATTTCATTCGTTCAAGGCAACCCACTCGACAAGGCCATTATGCTACTCATACCCATCTCAGGGTAGTAAGTCTGCAAGATCCATAATGCGGAGAAATCACCGGCTGTACATCCTACCAAACAGCGGAGAGTGTTGATTCCTGCTCGTTTCCAGGTAGATCTGCAGGTCCAGAATGGAAGACTAAGCGTCGGAAGGGGTTGGATTGGCAGCTTTTTGGTACATTTGGGGGTTTGAGATAATTGGTTTTCGTGCTTGATGCTCTTTGTGCGCTGATTTTTCTCTGTATGGCAGGCTTGTGCACGAGTGGTGCCACTGAAGGCGCGTCTTGAAACCCAGCAAATGCCTCGGCTTCGTTGAAGTAAAAATGGGTGGCGCATTTGACTCATACCCTAGCTTGTTGGGATCTTATGACAATTCACACGAATGGTAACATAGGTAAGTTTGGATATGAAAATTCGAAGGGACGGGGTCAAGGGGTCAGGTAGCCAGGTCGGTAGGGATGGTGGAGCATGGTCCCCGAGCCTGTAGCACAAATGCCGCAATGAAATAGTGCCAGATATACAATTTACGAAACCACGCATCGAAAAATATACCAATTAATAATATTTCTTGATAGTTCCACAGAATCTTAATATATAAGAGGAAATAACTGGCGAAGTGAGAAGAACAATATATGGGGTGAATATTCGACATGCTGAGCATTGGATATATCTTCGCACTATGCGGTGGGGCTACGGGAGCACTAGGAACATTCACGTTGACAACACCATAAACTTATTCCAGGTATTTAATGTGAATGTGGGTATCATGCGATCAATTATGTCTGTGCCTGTTGGTCCACGTCGAATGGTGGCGTTGTTTTACCGGTTTGGGCATCTTTCAGGTGTATAGGTCTAGGGCCTAGTATAATTCATCGCTTGGCCAAATAACATAATTTCAAACTGGGTAGCAAATCACTCAAAATAGATGAACATATATTGAGGCTTGTTTAACATCAAAGGCTATTCTATTATGATAGAGGCAGTGCTAATCAATTAGGTAGCCTTCATAAGTAATCCCCTTGGCAGTCTTCCACGCTTGTATGGAACGCTAACGCGGTGTTATTTTGTGGCTCCAATCCTGTTCTATACTATAGTCTTGCAGAAGAATTGTAGTTTTGCCATTCATTGTTCTCTGTAAAGAAGATATGAAAGGTCATATTCACAGTGTAGCAAAATGTCGTAATATTGTATATTGTAGGTTAACTTGTAGGCTTCAAGATTCTCAGTAGACTGATCTGCATGCATATCCATGCAAACCACGTTGCTTCTAAGTTACTTCGTTTAGAAACCTATAGAATGTTCGATATACTGATTCTAAGCGAGCTTGCATAGCCTGATTGAGGTTGGGAAAGCCGAGTACCAGAATAGTTCTTACAGTATTCCTTTTAATAGAAGCAATTGATTGCGTGGACATGCCGATCATTGGTATATAAAGCTTGTCAAGCAGCCCGAGTTTGTTGCAGCCTAACATTTGGCCTGGCGAACATACATTGCAGAAAGGCACTGCCCGGGTGCCCGATCTTTGATGCTTAAATAAGCATATTAATCATGCACGTGATTGAAGATCTTGTTGATCACTATCACGTGCACTCACCGCCACTGGATTTGTCAGGTCTGTGGCGACCCCAACTATTCCGGTAGTTCACGGGTGGACGGCTGCCTGACAGGCAATCTTGCTTTGATACCTAAATCGGATCCGCCGAGAAGGGACAACAGGATTGGTACCATACTAGTATACAGTCATACCCACGGTGCCCCTCTAGTGTATGAGTCACTTGTGTTCCTTGACTCCCCTCATCTCGATATCGGCATTAATAACCAGTATTGCCCATACCTGCATGTATATAAGCTCTAGCCAGTTATGAACTCATATGACAACCCAGCTGTCTAGAAACCCCACTAGAAAACGAAAGAAGCAAGATTCTGCAGGGACATTTCGAAAGAATAAGGGTCACTGCGCCACAGTGGCGCATCTGCACCTGACGCAAGCGGTATAAATAGGCTGCGGATGCCTTGCTACCTGAAAATTTTGGCCAACTCCTCATCCTCTCCCGACCCCATACCCATCGACATCTACTAGGCTGTCACCGCTAATTTATTTCAATTTTTTCATAAACAACTCTATTTTTGTTGTTTCCCTCTACTCAGATACTCAGTGCTTTTAAATTTACCGTTGTTGTGCATTGACGACGCGTCTTTCCGGTATCTACTACATTCTATCACGATCCCCTCAGTAGTGTGGGGTATCAACTTCGCGATATGGGTGACGGGTCTGACTATCCTAGCCCAAGAAGTGAAGGTCCCAACGGCGCTCTCGCTGCGTCCATCCTTGCCTCTGCATCTGAATCCACACCCCCAATTGCCAGAATGAACGACCCTCAGCAGCCTATGAGTTACAACCTTGATGGGGCGCGCCCGCGCCTTTCTGTTCGACGCGCCCGCGATCCTCCTAAGAACTCTGAAGGTCAAATCTTTTGCGATCATCCCGAGTGTCAAGCTGCACCTCCTACTTTCCGCCGTCCATGCGAATGGAAGTAAGTACAATGTCCTATTGTTGTATCTTTAACGCGCCCAGTACTAACATGACCTTAGCAAACACATGGATAAACATGATCGTCCGTACAAGTGTTATGAACCAAACTGTGACAAAATCCAAGGTTTCACCTACTCTGGTGGTCTCCTTCGTCACCAGCGCGAAGTTCACAAGAAAAACACCGACACAAAGAAGGCCCTGATGTGCCCATACACTGATTGCAATCGCAGCACTGGCAACGGATTTACGCGCCAAGAAAATCTGCGCGAACATCTTCGCCGTCGCCACATGCACAATGATGAAGCTCCCCCGATGGTTGATATGCCTTGGGACCGCGCCACCGAACTTGATGGTGTCGAGGGCGTTCGTGCCCCCTCTCTGCCTATCACTGGAATGAAGCGCCGCCACGACTCTCCTCCCGTTGGAGATCTCCGAGATATGCCTGAGACCGATGAGCATGGAATCGATTTACACAATGAAGTTAAGAGACTCCGCCGCGAAGTCCAAGAGAAGGATCGTCGTCTTGAAGAGTTGGAGCGAATTGTCGCCAACATTCAGCAGGCTATCCCTCAGCAGTCTCCTCCCGGACCCGAACTGCAGGATCTTTCGCAACCGGTTCCCCAGCCTACTGCGGCTCCTCCCGTTTAATATTGCTCCTATCAGATTTGAAATGTCTACGGATTGACCTATGCATCTTGTGGGCGTTTGTCGAGGCAGCCAATGCGCTTCAAAATTATGCGACTTTGCTTTTTCTCTTGTTTTGTGATTTTTTGCGACTTCCTTTCTGTCTTGTTTGTGTAGCATTTGGGTTTGGTCTCCATGTCTCCTCTCTGGGCAGATTTTGCTTCTCTTTGCGTTCTGCAGGGATTCGAGGATTCGGGGATCGACTTTCCCAGTCTTTACGGCGTTTTAGCTTGATTTCATATGGGCCAGGCGGTGTTGTCTCCAGAGGCGGTTTACACGTTGTCTCGCCTCATATACCCGGGTGTTTGATTCGATGTATCCTTTGTGGTCGTCGCTTCTACCATCCAACTCTACCTTTAGTTCGATTTGTTCCTGGTTACTAGCAGATTGTACGAATAATATCAGCTTGACAAAATAACCCTAGCCTCATTCTGTAATCCACAATAGCCCCAAAAGATCAACTGTTAACACCTAGACACTATAGTCTGTCGTGGCATTGAATCTGATATGCACGTTGACATTCGAAGTATAGGGCAGCCAATGATATCAATGGATGTAGACAAGTATTTATTCCTGAGGCGCCCAGGCTTCCACACGATTGCGATATTTCTCAGGCAACCATTTCAGCCACACCACGTTCAACTCGGGTCCCATCACCTCCTCGATTCTGGCCAGGCCCTGGCGAGACCTTAGTGAGCACGGCAGCCAGGAAACCCTATGGCCCCGCTGGCGGTGTCCATATCTAGAAGGTCGGAGTTAGGAGACAAGACCGCTGTTAACGGGCTCCCAACGGAGCCCGCTGCTCCCCATGGCGGCCTATGAGGCATCAACCTCACTCGTTGTACGCTCGGACGATGGACATGACCCCTCGGCTGACAACACTAGGCTAGGTATGACTCATTATTACGCGGATCGTGGGTTCGGGTCTTGACTCGACGCGAGCGACTCAACGCGTTATCACTTGATGATCTTGGTGTGCTGTTTCGTGTTGGTCGGGCCATTCTTTCCATGTATCTTCATGGGGCTCTAGATGAGAGTGTAGAATCTCATGGACGTAGGCAGCGCTCTAGGCGGAAGTGTGGTTGTTCAGATTAGTACATTAGTAATATGAACGAAAGGATGCATACCATAGCATGCCATACATCCTTGTAGGCTTTCCCGTTTGCTGCCTACTATATTAACTGTTCAGACAAGCCATGTATGAATAAATTGGCAATAAAGCCCTCAATAAATTGCCATATCTTGATCGACACGTATGCATATAGAGTTTTACTCCCTTGATAATGAAACCTACACGATTTGATACACTTATTCTCCGGTAACACACTATATTGTCACGTTAATAACTGCATCAACTTGCACGTAGTATGTATATAACTTGCAATCTGGAAGGGAATGAGCGTTTCTTTCGTACTGGCAGCTAGAGTCTCCTATACTTCTCTCAATGAGAGACAGTTAGAACGGCCCTGATATATTCCTATATATGCAAGGCTTGCTGATAGTCAAGAGATAGAAGATATCTTAAACCCCTTGATCGTTAAATTTGGTGTTCCAATTCAGTATTGCCTTACTGCCCGCGGTTAGGTCACGCCGGGATGTTGGCAAGTACATAATTCTTTCTGTTAACCCTCCAGCGAAAACAAATAATTTCAAACCAGAGATATTGATCGCGTTTCTAGATCTATATACTGGCAGGGTATGACTTTTGCCTGGATAAAATGTAGTGTCTTGATCAACCCTAGAGGCAGTATCGATAGATGTAGGGCTGACGTTATGTACGTGAGATGCCCTACAATCACTGCAGCAGATTCAACAAGCAGAGTGCAATCCGGATATTGAGCGTTAACATCGACATATTGTGTTGCTTTTGATTTGTTTAGAACTCCTATGCGCTCGGTGCTCTGATTCCGGACTAAAACGGTCTCCGTAATGATCATTATATAGACCTCACTCAACATATCTCAATGGAAGTAAACCCTCATGATGCAGCAAGGCTGAATAAACCTTAAGAGGCCCTATTTCTCTAAATCTCTGTATGAAATTCTGGAAAAAGTTCAATAATTAAACTCAACTGTTGTCCTCGGGATGGTTTATAGACCTTGATAGTGGAGCCGCCGATAACGATAAGGGAAAAAGTTCAAAATTCCACCCCACGTTCGATTTAAAGACGGTCACATTTCTTACAAAAGATAGACGAAACGAGTTTATTATTATATATATATATATATATAATGCCTCACGCCCCACGCCAGGGAAACCGCAGGAGGTCCCCAGGTCCGAAAGCGAAAGCGCAAAAACCAAAGCAAGCACCACCAGCAAACAAGCAGCACGCCAATCGCAAAGCTGAAATTGAAAAAGCCAAAGCCGAAGCCGAACAACTCGAGGAAGAAGAGTCTTCTGGACTTAATCTTGTCAGCACAATTCCTCTCACCCTCCAGCAACTACTTTTGGACGTATTCAAGACAGCACTCCTCGGCAACCCAGTCGCAGAGTCGGAGTCTGCAAGCCAGGATGCCAACCCCGCTGAATCACAATCAGACGAAAATAAAGATGAACCATTAGATATTAAATCTCTCATCCAAACAATCAAGGGGCTTCTATACCAGCGCGATTTTGACTCTGCCTTTACCGAGGCAGGCGAGGATCTGCTGCGCGCCTATGCATTGCGCTGGAGTGCCTCCCGGTCATTGGGATATGCGGGCCTGTTGAAGGGAGTTTTGACTTGGATGAAAGAGGAAGAGGGAAATACGCGAGGCCGTGCTAGAAGCAAGAACACCTGCACTCGTGTTGTATCAATTGGTGGCGGAGCCGGTGCAGAGATCGCTGCTCTTGCAGGTGCGTGGAGAGACATGGGCCCCCAAGCCCAGTCGCTTGAGGAACGTGTTGCCAACGTCTCCCTTGAAGACTCGGAAAATCAAGATGAAAAGACAGAAGTTGAAGACCAAGGTGTCAGCGCACCAAGCCTCTCAGTCATGGCTGTCGATATCGGAAACTGGTCGGACGTTGTTGATAGGCTTTCACGAACCATCACATCAGCTGATGTGCCATTCTCGCAAACAACAAAATATCGTCCGCCGTTGCTGTCGGAGAAAGTGGCCAGTGAAACATTCTCCGTGGCTTTTCGTCGCGCAGATGTCCTGACTCTTCCTGAGGAGGGACTGAGGGAAATCTTCCTCGGACCTTCCTCGGCCTCTCCTTTCACTTCCGTTCTCGTCCCTATCATGTTCACTTTGAATGAGCTCTTCTCTACCTCCATGCCAAAGACTACCGGTTTCATGCTCAAAATGACGGAAATCCTTCCTGCCGGTGCGGTGCTTCTGGTTGTTGATAGTCCTGGCAGCTATTCCACTTTGAAGCTAGGAAAAGGACCGGACGGTGAACCACAAGAGAGGAACTATCCCATGAAGTTCTTGCTTGACCACACGCTGCTGTCTGTGGCGAAGGGCAAATGGGAGTGCGTATACACGCAGGACTCGAGATGGTGGAGACGGGACGCTGTGCGTCTGCGGTATGAAGTTGGCGAAGGCGCAGGCTTGGAAGATATGCGCTTCCAGATGCATGTGTATCGGCGGTTGTAGATCTGATGTGTTCTATTTCACGATATATAAAAACTATTTAATGAGCAATACGATTGAGGCTTCCAAAAAAAAAAAAAGTGTGGTGTGGAGTGAGGTATGGTATTGCTACAGATAAGGTGGTTTAGTTCAGACCACTCCAAATTCACGCCACGAGGCGAGACTCGCCCCAAGTCGCGACAAAAAATTGCGATTAATTGGTACATTCAATGAGTTGTGAAAATGGGGCTCATAAATCCCCGAGACAGCCTTATAACCCCCCTAACTCCGCAGACCCAGCAGGAGGCTAGTGCTCTTGCTTCCATCCTTTCCCTCTCCACCAGGCAGATAAGTGACGTTGGGGTTCGAGGAAAGAGTGGTGGCGATCTCCTTGCTGGCCTCGATACGACGGATCTCAATCAGTCCGCTGCCAGCCTTGGCGACGGCCTTGCTGATAATGTCGGCACTCTCGGCTTCACCCTCAGCGCGAATGACGTTGGCCTGGCGCTCCTGCTCGGCACGCTCGACGATGAATCGGGCCCGCTCGGCATCCTGTTGAGCGATCTGCTTCTGTTCGACGGCCCGTGTGAACTCCTTTCCGAAGGTCATGTGTGTAATGGAGACGTCCTCGAGGGCGATGTTGAATTGTCCAGCACGCTTCATCAAGTCAGTGCGGATACGGTTGGAGACAGCTTCACGTTGTGTGATCAGCTCGGCGGCGTCGAACTGGGCCACAATGGCCTTGAGGACTTCGTTTCCGATGGATGGGAGGACACGCTCATCATAATCGGTACCGTATGACTGGATAACTCTAGGTCAGTCTTTTGTTATATGTAGGTACTTAGGGATCACATGAGATACACACCTGGTAGATCTGCGGCAGCTTCGGCACCTCCGGGCGGTGCAACACACGCAGCGTCAAGCTAACCATCTGCAAATCCTTACTTCCTGTCGTGGTGGAGATGTTGCGAGGCTTCGTGCGGACATCGTAGACAATTGCGCGCTGCAACCAGGGGATCAAGAAATGTGTTCCTTCGTTGACGACCTTCTCTTGCACACCAGACACTCGGTCGAAGATGACAGCTCGTGTGCCGCCCTTGACATCGTAAAGGGAATTTTGAACTAGCATACCCCCAATAGCCACGGGGAAGGCCAGTCGATAAACATTTTGGAGGACTTGAGCCATGGTTGGAGGTGGAGGGCGAGGTGATGAGGACGGATGATGGAGATGATGTCTGCTTTTCCCGTTGCTCACTCTGAGTGTTCCCAATCGGGTTTAGTGCACCATCTTTCCAAACCTCCAACTTCGCCCGACCTTCGTCTTTTCCTCACTCATTTCGCTACCTCCATACCTTTTCCACCCCACTCCTTTCTTTTTACCCGAAATCATTCACAATGGGTGGCTCTGTGGACCCTAAGAACGGACAGTAAGTCGTTTCGCGTTTGCTCCTGGTGTCCTGGGTTGAGTATCGGCCTCCCGGATGCGTTACCCGCCCGGCTACACAATGGAATCCCCAAAAGATGCCAATTGAGTCGGCTTTGATAGACTCAATGAATTCTCCGTCTTTAGTTCAGTTAACTGACGATTTTTACTTCCTATAGCTTCATCGGCAACTGGGGCGAGTTCGGTACGTTTGACAATAACCCTTGAACCTTTTATACGGACCCGATGCATGCGCAGGAGACCGACCCCTTCCGCGATATGAAAGATCGCGACAAGGAATACAGAAAGATCCACAGGAACAAAGCAGGAAGATGTAATTCGAACGGATCGCTAATATCCATCTTTCAGGTTGCCCGACTCCCCAGCGCATCGCCACCTACTCGCTGTCCCCTAACCGTCAGCGTCCCATGGCCGGTGCCGCCCACGCTGCCATCTTCAACGTCTTCCGTCGTTTCCGTCACCAGGTTCTCTACGTTGTTCCCCCCTTTGTTGCCGCATACGCCATGATGAACTGGGCCATTGAGCGGTAAGAATGACCGCAGGAGCCGCTTTGATCGGTGCGCTAATTTTATACTTTAGCAACGAGTACCTGAACTCCAAGCCCGGCCGTCTTCTCGAGGGTGGCAATGAAGAGTAAATTATCTCAATTTGTTTGTTGGAATGAGGTTGGACTGGTATAACAGAGCATGATACGCCCAACACTCTGCAGTTTGGGGGAGCTGTATGTTTGTACAGTAACTAGAAAGCAATCGACCGTTTGATTTTCCTTTTATCCGCCCTGTTTTTGCGCTTTAGGGGTCTTTATTTTCTTATATTCAAATTCAAGCTTGAGTAAGCGTCTTTCTAGGGCTCTCTATTGGTCCCTGAGGTGTCCATGCCCAATTGTGAGCGTGGGGCATATAGACCAGGCCGAATTGCAATCAATTAAGGGCTAGTAGAGGTAACTAATACCTATTATCCGTATTAGACTTGGTCTAGTCCTGTTTCTTAAGGATATTTGCTGGTGTTGGTGGTAGCACAGCGGTTCCCCACTTGAGCCGAGAAGAAACAAAAAATTCGCCCAAAACAGCCAAACTTCCGCCGAACCCTTTTTCTTCGAATGCTTCGTCTCTCCAGACTCTCTTCTGCTTTCTACTCATCATCTATTTTCCCCCGTCGTTTCTCTTCATTTCCTATCAAAATGAGCGAGCTCACCCACCCCACCATCCAGGGTATGTCTACAACAACCCCCCCTCCATTACCCCGCCTTCAAGTCAATTTGTTACGATAGCATGCTGATGCCCATCTACAGATGGCTGGTTCTCTGAGAAGTCCGGCATGTGGCCCGGTCAGGCCATGAGCCTCAAGGTCAACCAGATCATCCACCACGAGAAGTCCAAGTACCAGGATGTCCTCGTCTTCGAGAGCAGCGACTACGGTACCGTTCTCGTCCTGGACAACGTTATCCAGTGCACCGAGCGCGATGAGTTCTCCTACCAGGAGATGATCACCCACCTCGCCATGAACTCTCACCCCAACCCCGAGAAGGTCCTCGTCATTGGTGGCGGTGACGGCGGTGTCCTCCGTGAGGTCGTCAAGCACGCTTCCGTCAAGGAGGCTACTCTGTGCGACATCGACGAGGCTGTCATCCGTGTTTCCAAGAAGTACCTGCCCGGCATGGCCATTGGCTTCCAGCACCCCAACGCCCACACCCACGTTGGTGACGGCTTCGAGTTCCTCAAGAACCGCCAGAATGAGTTCGATGTTATCATCACTGACAGCTCCGACCCCGAGGGTCCCGCCGAGTCTCTCTTCCAGAAGCCTTACTTCGAGTTGCTGAAGTCTGCCCTTCGCGAGGGAGGTGTCATCACTACCCAAGGTTGTTCGTCACTTTCTTTTTTTCTGCCCAATCCCTTTTCTGGGGCAATCATTCCTTGACTGCTCGTCCCCGTCATTTTATCATCTCACTATAAAAAAAAACGTATCATATGCTAATCTTTTTCGCACCACCCCGCAACCAACCCGCTTTTCGGGCTCGGTTTTGCGGAGCTGTGCTTTATATCTAACAGCCGAGAACCAATGGCTCCACCTTGACATGATCTCCGAACTTAAGAAGTCCTGCAAGGAGGTCTTCCCCGTCGCCGAGTACGCCTACACCACCATCCCCACCTACCCCTCCGGCCAGATTGGCTTCATGGTCTGCTCCAAGGACGCTACCCGCAACGTCCGTGAGCCCCTCCGTACCTGGACCGCCGAGGAGGAGCAGAAGCTCTGCCGCTACTACAACCAGGACATCCACCGCGCCAGCTTTGTTCTGCCCAACTTCGCTCGCCAGAAGCTCGGCAACTAAATGTCGTGATCTTTGAAAAAAGCTTTTATGGTCTTTATATCCTCATGACGATATTGAAATGAAATCATGGATTTTCGTACATCCTATCCTGTAGATTGGCCCCTTTCGCTCATTTTTCGTGTGTAGTCGTGCGTTATGTTACCTAGGTGTTTACTTATAGATGCCGTTGTGGGCGTGAGATGTGATTCTAAAGAACCTGGAATTTGGAGATTGTCGCGCAATAACCCTGAATTGCAGCCTTACTCATTGGGTCTCTCATGCTACCTAATGAACAGTTTGGCAGATTTCTCGCGATATTTCTTTCTCTGTTTCTTCCTGCAACAAGACACAATACAACTCTTATTAGATCCAAGTCTTCAATGTTTGGCTCTTCCGGATTTCGGTGGTTAATAAACAGTACGACGGCAATGATGTGCGGCGATGATCCAATGTATCACTTGTGAGGTACGTCTTCATTGGACATCGAGATCGATAACCTTGGAAGCCCTGCGGAAACGAGAGCCGATTACATTAAAGGTGAGGTTGATAACGTTGATACCCACCTATACGGCAGGTTTACATCATGGCTTCTGTTTATTTTCTTACAGATATTCAGCATTATTCGCTACTGTACTGAGGAAGTGAACTGCCGTGCATTTCACTTGTTGTAAATTGACCTTCAACCCACCACAATGAAGATGTATGATAATTTCGTTCCATTAATCGTCTCTCTCTCTTCCTGGTGGCCCCTTTCTTCGGACATGAAACCAATGTAACAGATGACACGAGTGACGACCTTGTCAGCATCGCACAGGGTGGACCAAACCTGTGTACGTCAGATGACATTGCCAAAATAGACGTGAGCGGCTGTACATACCCTTCGACTTTCCCATCCTTACCCACAAACCTGGTCTGCGTTACACCGTCGGGACGATGTCCTATCAAGTTGCAATCCCCCGCCCCCGGCGTCACCCGTAATACCTCGATCAGAGCTCTGTCAATGTTACTAGGGCTGTGTCGATGCTAATTCCGAGTGCAACAGCTCCTACATCTGGTTCTCCAGTCTATGTCAGTGTATTCGCGCCTTCCAAGCCGGAACCCCGGCAACTTGCATCGTATGCCCTTCAATTGGCGTTGGCCCGCCCTAATCCAACCAGTCCCTGTACTGGGTAGTCCTCAGCGGTGGAAACTCGATTACCATGACGGATCTGACACCAGGCATTCTGTAATTGAGTTCCGCTGCTGACGTGGACGGTGGATTCCGGCTTGGCC